GCTCAACCCGACGGGGCTGTGCTGCCCCCTCAAGGAGTTGCAGCACCAGTACCACGGCGAGACGATTCTAGGTAACCCGGCCAACTTACTTCAATAGGTTATTTCGCACTGACACATCCCATCTGAAACTGAATTCTAGCTGCGTTTACTGAAGCAGAAGTGAATCTTAAATTCCTTCACGTCCTCGATTTTGGGCTCGCAGCAGACAAGACATTCGCGGAAGAGTCTCTCGACGGGGGTCCATTATTGGTCTACATCGCGCGCTTGGGCGCAGATGCAGCGTCCGCGGTGGCTTTGAGAACAGCGCCCCGACAGAATCTCCTCGCATAAGTGGGCCCAGTGTCAGCAGGCCTGCATCGCGAACCAGCAGCCGCCCTAGTCTTGTACCACAGGAGGAAGCCTTAGACGAGGGTTTTAACAGGCAACAGCGTGACGTGGAGGGTGCGGCAAGTAAGTTGACTAAATGGCATTTTCCTTCTTTTGGGGCTCAAGTGGAGTAGTCGTTGATGCGTGGATCTCATGCACACTTGTACAGACCCAATAGGTTCACTCATTCAAAGCCTTGTGTCACTGTTTTGTTCGTGGGACTCCACTTTCGTACGATAACGCATTCTAAGTTTGACACTAAAGAATCGAGTGCCAGCTTGGTGGTTGGAAGATTATTTCTTTGGCCTCTCAAGGGCGTTTCTCTGCAACGTTCTGAGGCCTATGCGTAGGGTTTCGATTTGCTGCTGGCGGCATTCCGTGGGTGAATGTCATTTTGTTGCTGCTTCAGCTGGAGGTGCCGGTGGTGCCCCGGAGAACGTCGCATTGCAGCCACTGAAAAAGGCGAGCAGCGCGGGCCACTCAAGTGGCGTGGGCATGCAACCTATTTCTGTAAGCTGTTCACCAAAACGTTTTGGAGGGCTTTTTAGGAACTTTTCGTGGTATAGGGGAGTCCGCCCGCCTTCATTTCATGATTTACAATCTGCTTTTCCCGATAAATCAAAGGGCGTAGACTGGCAGTGGAACCGTGAGTGACTGTGTATTTGGGTGATTTCTCAGGAGGAAGGAGCAGCACTCACGCCAAGTCCAGACTACAATAGCGAGAGCTCTCCAGAAATATACTAGAATGTGATGGGTAGAATGCAACAGGATCGCGTATTATTAGTTTTCGGTCAGGTGGCCGGATTAGGGGTCATATGAGCCTGGCGCGAAGAGCAGCTCATCAGGTAGCGAGAGCGCCCTCAATGTGTGAGAGGCCCTCAGACAAGGCGTCTCTTTGCTTGTTGCGTCCTGTGTGTACTCATTGGCTCTTTTCGTGGGGGTAGTACTTTGTTTGTACCCGAAAGGCACTTTTCACAGCCTTGTTGCACTTGTAGCGTCGCGATATCTTCGGGTTGGCGTTGCCACATCTGTTTTCCTCAGCATTGGGGGACCTCTCAAGTATTTCTTTAAATTCAAGTGTCCATAAATGCAGGTGTGCTCATACGGCGAATTCAGCTCCTTGAGCCTCTGTCCTACGTGTAGCTTTTGTTTTCGAGTTTCCTAAAATATAGCAGAATCAAGATCTCTAGAGGTCCAAACTGTGCATACAGTAGGGTGCAATGAAACTGTTAGTTGGGACAACTGAAGCTGCTATTAGAATAGAGTGCCCTTTGCGCAGAACTTGCCCAGTTTAAAGGGCCCAAAAGCAAGAGTTGATAGTTTCTGGGAAGTGGCCACGATTCTCTCCACGCTGCAAACGCGACGCAGTCGGAAGGGGTTATACAAGCATGAGCACTGCGCGCTTGTGCATGTTGTCGTGAAACTGTAGACCACGTACATTCGTGCTAATTACCAGGCCGCTTGTATTTTTACTTCTTCGCCAGAGCTGCAGCAAGTTTGAGCACTACTTCATCGCTCCCGCGGGATCCCAACAACAGCCATCCATCAGCAGAGACAAAACAGGGGAAGCCCGCGGCCGTTACGACGGCCAACAGCTGTTCATGGACCCCCCTAAATGTTGTTCTTGGGTCGCGGGATGGTGTTAAATTTGGGGCTACGCCGTGCGGGCTCGCAGTTGGTATGTGGGGGCCTACATCAACGTCGACTGTTTCCGATGCAGACACATGATCATCGAAGAGGGGCTGTTCCAGGTTCGATTCCGAGGTCTCTGCGAAGTGCAGCAGGGCGTCAGCTTCTGTGAAAAAGCTGTCTAAATGCTCCCGAATTTCCTGTTGAGCAATACGAGCACAATGCAGCAAATCCGTCCTGCCGCGGTCTTGTAGAAGTACCCCTCCTGCAAGGGAAAAAGATGCAAGATGGCACGAATTGGCGAATTCCTCAAGATCGCTTGGATCAAGTCACCTCTGTCTGATCAGCATTCAGCGTCCTGCTTTACGCCTCTACTCTGCCTTGCAGTTGCAATGCTCATAGGAGCACTTATCTTATGCTTGCACTTTCACCTGCTGAGGACGCTTTCAAACCACTACGCTGCGTGCTTGCCGCGGGACTCTCGTGCAGCCTCTCTAATTTCCCCTACGGATACAGAATGCCTCTCCCTGGCAAGACCTCTCCCTCCATTCACCTACCAAGCAATATTTTTCGTCTGACATCAAGGCTGAAGGCCTTTGCCCTCTCCGATAGGACATTCATTTTAAAGCAACGATTATGCTGCTGCTCCTGCTCTTCCTGCTGCCCCTGATGTCTACTGCCTTGTCGCGCTCCCTGAGGTCGCCTGAATGACCTCACACAGCAAACGGCACTAATGCTCCCTGTATCGGCCCTGGGCAGCACAACGAGTTGCCGAGCTAGCTATCCATTTACAGCCCACAGCAAATGTAACGCACCGGTGGGATGGTAAGGGCTCCTGGGTGCCCCCTTGGCCAATCCTTAGGAGGAGACCAGCTGCTTCACAGCACTGGAGTAGGGCCTGTCCAACTGATGCGCGCTGAAGCGTCTGTGCTGCAATACAGGCGACCGCAAGGTTGCGGCAGCTGCCAACTGACTGCTTTTGTTTCTGCTGCGTCTGCTGAAGTTGCTGGAGACGCTCCAGGAGATCGTGCCGCTCCAACGCCAAGGGTAAGTGGGCGGTGGATTCTTCATTGCCTGTGACTTGAAGACACGTAACTCGAGGGCAGACTACAATGTCTCTTCTTTTCATTGAAGTTGTCTTTCTCTGCGCTTGCTCTAGGTAAAACCTGAATGTTTGAAGGTCGCAGGGGTCAGCTGCCTTCAGTGCCCTAAAGATTTGCTGCAGCACTACCACATCCTCCCCGCAAATCCACAAAGCGGGGGTTCCGCAAGAGGCCTGCAATAGCGGGGAAACGTTCCCTGGAGCTACAGTTGCAGTTCTGTCTCTTCGTAAAACATCAGCTGCACTGAAACATCCAAACAAGCTCACGCTACCCTTGGAAGGTGAGAACCCCATCCTGTAGGCTGTGCTCGCTCGAGCATCTCCTGTCTGTCTCTGCTCACTAAAAACACAACTGCTGCTGGTGCTGCCGCTCGCATGAGCTTTCCATGTTACGCCTCGCTGGATGGGAGGGCGGGCAGTCACTTCCAAGCGACCCTGAGCACCATCTGTGTATGTGGAGGTTGTCGGCAACACACCGGAAGTCACAATGGCCCCTGCTGATTTCAAGCGCGTCACAACCGTTGCTTCATAAGCTACCGGGCCTTTCAACATGCCTAAGCACGGCAAACATGACAGCAACAACTGAAAAGCAACGTTTATTCGGTGACCATAGAAATATTAGGACAACCACGTTCACCACTGATCAGCCTCCAGGCGTTGTGGACTCTACAAGTCTGCAGTATTTTCTTGATGAAGTGTTTCTCCAACGTCCCCCAAGGGAGCCTCCACTGACACACGTAAATCAAACAAGCCTAAGAACTCACTAGGTGTGTCACCCCACGTCTCGCGACACCGTATGATTGGGCTTACGGACACACAAACACCGCGTAGGGAGATTCCAGACGCTTCAGGACCGAAGCATGGTGCTTCCGTAGTTTGCTCGGGAACGTCTGCCGTATTATTTGCTGCCGCTCCGGCTGCCTTCTCATCTGCAACTGATGCAGTTGCTGAAGGTGGGCCGGTTGCTGTTGCTTTCCCCCGAGCAGCACTCGCTGCTCGAGAGGCGGCTAAGAAGACATGAAGATCCTTGGAATGTCCTGAGAGCTGCCGCCTATGAGAAGATAAACAAGTATAGCAGCTGGTGGTGACACCAGGGTAACATGAGAAGCAGCTCCTTTCCCTGAGAATGTTGCTATAACAGCCGATGTTGCAATGTGGTCGAAAGATCAACCCGCAACCGTTGCAGTTGATGATGCCTGTGCTGCCGTTGCATACTCCTTTGTACAGAAAGCTGCAGTGTTTTGAGGGTGCATGCAGCCCCTGTGTGGGTGTGAAGTCACCAGACAACAGAAGCAACCAAAAACAGAAGGTCTCCCACAGGTTGCACCACAAAGACCCCCTCTTGCCCTGTGCGCCTTTTGTGGCATTCCACAGAGAAGTGACTCCATCCATAGACGTCACGAAGGCCCAGGGATATACTTGGTACTGATAAGCAGCTGCGATCTCCTTAGGACGAACAGAAGACTGCGCCGCCGACAGGGATAGTCCAAAGTCAAATTAGGCCTTTTGCGTGTGATGCCGAAGACCAAATGAGAAAATGCAATAAGGCCTGAACAGCACTAGGTTAATAATCAGCAGGCCAAGACGAGGGCCCCATGGAAGCTAGCAAGGACCCCCCGGGACCACACGACGTTCGGGGGCCCTTCTCTGCCTGTGCAGTGCCAAAATCTCAGGGCAGGAGCAGCACTAAATTCAAAGTGCTTTCCTCTCTAACACAGTGAATCTCTCAACAATTTTGGCGTACTCTGATGTATGAAAGAACGCGCTGACGGCCGGGGCCATCTCATGCCCTGCCGTAAGCTTGCCACCATCATCCTTACCACTGCTGCGTAGTACCCTCAGGGATACGCCTGTTATGCTCGTAGCACCTGATGAGGCTGTGTGAACCATTATGACGTTGCAGATGGAGGGCGTGCCCTTCAGCCAAATCCCTCCGGCGCCTACAGAGGGCGTCTTCCGCTCTGCTGGAACTCAGTTGTCGGAGTCGACTGGAGCATCATTGTTCCGAGCCCCTTCTATAAGCAGTGCAACAGGAGTGTTCTCACTTGGAAGCACTGCTGGGTCCCCCTCCCCGGGTGCCCTCTCAAGCAGAATCAATGCACTCCTTGGGTCGGCCTCTGCCGCTTGCGGGGTACCTTCCCCCTTTACGGGACCCGCAGCTGCAGAATCCGGCCATCAGGCAGCTAACTCTACTGGCAGCAGCGTCTTCAACGCAAGCAAGCCCGGGAACGGGGGAAATGGAGGCCCGTTTGGCGAGGCCGGAGGTTTAGGTTCGCAGTGTCTCTTTGCTTCTGGCACCAGCAGCAAGTCAGCTGGGACCCACTCAGAAAGTGCTTCAGCGGGCATCTCTACCAGAATATCTGTGGGGGGTTCTAAGACGGGGGTGGCCACTTCTGGCACGTCAGGTACGAGCAGTCAAGTTTTCGCCACCCCGTCAACTGGTCTTTTTTCGAATACTGTTTATGGAAGTAACCAAGACAATGGGCCTGCTCCAAATACTGGCGCACCACAATCAGCAGGGCGCTCAACTGCTTCAGTCGTCAAGGCTACTGCACCTGGACTGGCTCTGCAAAGTGTTGCCTCTGGGGGCAGCTTGTTCGCAAATAATACGAATCAGAGGAGGGAAGGAGAACTCTCTAGAATTTGCCCGACTCTGTTGGGTGTTAATTTTACTGCAGAAGGCCCGTCAGGTAGTAAACTAACGAACGGGGATATGCTTGGGGGCATTCCTGCGAATTCCACACCTGCGATGTCGACCTTTGCGGACACTTCTGGAGCCCTCATCCCAGGGGCCTCACTACAGATGGGGTCAGCAAAGGGAGCTGTTTCTTGTGGAAAAGGTCTGTTTGCCACTGTTCTGGCCAGTGAATCGTCGGGCGCCGCCCTGGTAAAAGCCCGGAGTTCGGACGATAAAAGCGGCAGTACCGGTTTGTTTAAAGGTGTTGCTTATTCTGGGGGAGAGCGGGGCACTTTATTTGGCGGCAGTGTTTCCGGCCGCAACGGTGCTTCTGAGGGTCTTATTGAGGCCTCTGCTGGTAGTGGTTTGTCCTCACGCTTACCCGGAGGACTTGATCAAAATCGAGCCAGTGGAGGCGTCTTAGCGGGAGCCGCAGGTCAAAATGTCTTCTTCACAGGAAGCAGGAGCAGTTTGTTTGGGGTTCCCGCCGAGGGCACGTTCACAGCTGCAACTAATAACAGTGACAGGGACGTTGAGGGCGCCGTTGTTAGTGACAGTAAGGGACCTTCACGACCACATGAAGGCTCTTTCGGGCCTTTCCGCAGCAGAGGCGCTTCTTTGGGATTCGAAAGTAGTACTGAAGCAGAAACAAGGCCAGCCGGTGGTAGCACTGGAAGCAGGAGCAACATATTCGGCCTTACTGACGGGCATTCCCGGCTTGCTAACCGTTGCGGAATTGGGCCCACAGCGTCGAGCGGCTCACAAGAAGGATCTCATTTCACTGGGAGCGCTAACTCCTTTTCTAGCATGGAAGCTTCGCCAGAAGACTCAAGCAGCACTAAGGGCAACACAAACAAGAGTAGTGTAATTGCTGCGCATGGGCGAGGCAGGCTTTGTGTGCCCGAAGGCCGTGCGGTGCCGCCTCCCTTGCCAGCTCCTTCGGGTCCCGAAGGGAATCCTATGCTTCAAGCTGATCTTGACGATGGAGCGTTGATCCTGCGGGTACAAGTGGTGCAGCAGCTTCAGCAGGTGCTGCAGGAGGGGATCTCTTCTACGCTGTCTACAGCTGCAGCAGCAGGTAATGACCCTTCTTTGGGAGGGCCGTTTGTGGGCCATTTGTGTGGCTGCTGCAGCACAGAAGAAATGCTTGACAAACAACAGGTTTCCACGGCATCGGATTTTGAGCGGCTAGATGCAACGGTCCCAGGCGATCCAGAGGCGCGCATCGTAAGTTGTTTCACCCACAACGAGCCATCTGCCCAACATTAGAAATTCCTTGCTACTAAAATCTTGGCCGTCTTCTGGATGTGTGTATTGGTTTTTGTTTGAATCACCTTGCATGTTAGTGCCTGTCGGTATGTACTGCGTGAGCTCCAGCAGTCTGGCATATGTGCCGATGCTGTTTAATGACTTTATTGCCATGAATTTGCTAATGATGCTGGTGCAGGTGAACGTACATCTAGCCTTTTCATCATTTCGGCGAAGTGACGCTGGGAAGCCCTTTAAGCAATCTGACACCCGACCGGCAGTTTGGTGTCGGCGCGCCGTCCATGCACTGCTTACATATTTTGCCGACGCAGACCTGACGAATGGGCCTCAGCAGCAGCAGCAGCAGCAGCGGCAGGTCCTGCCTCGGAAGGAATATCTGTACTGTCGTCCCCGTCCGTACACTTACATAGATGTGTACAACTTTCTTCGGGACCGCCTGCGAGCGTGCTGGCAGGAGCTGACAGTGCAGCACGTGTCTCCCCACCGGGCATCCATTGAGACTTTGGAGATATCTTTTCGCTTCTTGGTTCTGTCTGAAGAGCTCTTGGCTGGAACTCCTGGCTTTGATGCAGTCTCCAACCACGGTCTCATGCAAACTTGTCTCGACAAGCTCATGCAGGGATACGAGGCAACTCGCGCCTTTCGCAGCAAACGCGACGCAACTGCTGCTGCGGCGGCGGTGGCAGCTGCCACTGCTACTGAAAATGAAGGAACAGTGGCGAAAGACGTTAAGGCGTTGATGGATCTGCTTGTCTACTCCAGTCCGTACGAGGGGGAGTTTTGGGGCTTCAGGCTACTGATGTTGTTATCGCAGGAGGCGAGTGATACGGCTCTGGTGTCTCTGTTGCAGCGACTGCCGCAGCAGCTGCAGCAGGACCCGTCAGTGCGTTTCGCGCTTGAGGCCTACAGGGCATTTAGGGCCCTGGATCTTCGCCGCTACGTGAGGCTAATGCGAGAAGGGCCGTACCTGCTGTGTGTAATGCTGCATAAGTTTTTGCCGTATGCGCGCGCACGGTTTCTTGCTGTCCTCGTTCTCAGTAGATTGACGGGGGGCTCAAGAAACCCAATCAGCCCGCAGCGGCTTTCGCTGCTGCTGGGTTTCGATGGGGAAGATGGTAAGGATGGTGTTTTGGAGCCTCGATGACCGTTGCTGCTGCTGCTTATTCTAGTCTCTAAGATTGTGCCTATGCGGTATTTTAACAGGGCTCTGCAGGTTGCTGCCGTTGGAGCTTCTGCTGCCTATTCTGACTGTGTTGGTATAGTCCCTTGTGGAGGCTCCCGACTCTTTTGCTGTTGCTTCTGGGACTGTGCAGGTGATATGTTTCCGGCCTTCTTGGCTGCTTACGGAATCCGTACTGCAGTATCCCCCCGCGGAAACCGAGTGTGCCTATTGGAGGAGACGGACAAAAGTCTTCTCCAGGACCTTTCTTCCTACAAGAAAGCTAAAGGCCCAAGGGCTCCCTCTGCATACCTCATGAGCCCGGCTTACCTGTCCAGGCAGCAGCTGCTTGACCCAGACTACCCGGCAGCTGCTTTCCCTGGCGGACGACAGCAGCAAGAGCAGCAACAGTTGCAGAGGCTCTCAGCAGCGGAACTGAGTAAGGCATTCTATTTCAAGCAGCTTCACACGCCAGTGCAACAGCAAGCACAACGGTATCAGCAAGAGCAGCAGCAAGGCCAGTTTACGAGGTTTAGGAGACTGCAGCAGCTTAAGCTCAGGCAGCAGGAGCACAACCAAAGGAAGACAACGTCGGAAAAAGAGCGGCAGCCCCTACTGTGGCGGCAGCGGTCTTCGGACGGGAAGCTGCACGCTAATAGCTCAACAATTACAGCGACTGGAGTGCTTTCGTTCCAGATACCAGCCGTGCAAAAGCTACATGGATTGTTGAAACCACGTGAACAGTTCCAGCAACAGCTGCCGCAGGTTCCTCAAGGGCAGCAGCCCTCACAAGCGCAGCTACAAGAGCCACCTGAAGCGCACCAGCGGGCTCAGCAGGAGCAACAGGAACAGTCAGTTTCATCGTCTGCGTGGCCTTCGTGTCAGGCTAGGCAGAGTGCACCGAATTTTCAAGCGGCTGTAGTGGTTTCTGAGAAAGGGCCCCTGGGTCATCATGGGTGTCACGTAGCAACTGCTACACCTAGGGACCAATTTGCTTCAGCAGGTGTGACTGCAGTCGCAACAGTGCAGCCAGATGCGCCCACAGGACACGCAACATCCTCAGAAAACGCAAAGGTGGCAATTACAGAGCCCTCAGGAAAGCCCAACATCGTAGGTCTTCCTGAAGCTAGTGAGGCAACGGTGCGGGAGCCCGTCGCGGCGCCAGCGGCTGATGTTGAAGCTCAACAACTTGTCATTGCTGCACTGCAACGGTCTAAGGAGAAAATTGAGCTAGACAGTGGGCAGCATGATAGTTGCCCTCCCCACATCGAAGCATCACCCGTGTGTAGCCCTAGCGTAGCGGGGCCCCCAGCAGTGAAGTTGGCGACATCGCCGAAATGGCCTGCACAGAGCCCTGGGGCAGCGCCAGTTGCGAACATAGGTACCGCAGCAACAAAGCCTGAAACGGGCCCAGAGGGGATTGTGGGCTTAAGACGATGGAGACGCCGGCGCAGAAGCAGTGGCGAGGATGGCTCGCAGCTTTATGCATCAATCCAACTAACTAGTGTATCTGCATTCCAGGGTGCTACTGCAACCATTGAGAGTGTAGGGAGAAAAAGTTGCGTGTGCCTTGCAGAGGCTGCTGCGGCTGCTCCGGCAGGAGGCTGCAGAGCCGAGGTGCCGTTGCTGCTGGTAGAGATGCCCAGCAGTAGCGCGCCATCCGCATCAGCTGTTCCTGGCGTGCAGCAGAGCACGGCGGTGCAAGAGCAGCAACGACAGCCACAACACCGACGGCAACAGCAGGACGAACAACAACACGAACAACGGCGGCAACTGCAGCAACTGCAGCAGGGGCAGCAATTGCAGCAGCAGCAACGCGAGAAAGACCACCCGCAGGAACGAGCGGAACAGGAGCTACCTAAAGATGGCTCCGGCAAAGATCCAAAGAGCTTTCAGGGTGGCTCAGGCGGTCACAAGCAGGCTCCAGAAGCTAAAACAAGGGCCGCGGGAATTAAGCAAGCCAGTGCGATTACGTTGAAGCAAGATGCAAACGTAAACGATCGTACTGAAAGAGCTTTGTACACACTGAGATCTCCAGAAGAAGAACTGCTGCTGCTGTTGCAACAACAGACAGAGTGGCCAGGGCAGCCTTTCGCAGCGATGCTTGCCACTGCCGTTGGTGCTGCAATTCAATCCTTGCCGACGGATGCTATACGAGTTCCTGTATCAGCTAAGCCTGAAATGCCCCAGCATCCACAGCAGCAGCAGTTGTGGAATTTGCAGAGTATTGTTGTTCCCCGCATTTTTTTCAAGGCGGTATTTTTCGGTCTCGGCAGGTATGCTGTTGAGGCTATGCTGTTGCGCATGGTCGTCTCGGCTGCCGAGGGCCAAGATTGCAGCAGCAAGAGTGTCGCAGCTCCGGTGCTGATTCATGGCACTGTGACATCTGGAAGAGGAAGGCAGCCTCTTCATAGCAAGTTGCTGTTATGGCCCCAGCAGATGGTGCTCACGACAAAGGCTCCATTGCCGCTGCCGCTTTTTTGCTCTCTGCATGCCATTGGGTGCACTTCGGAAAAGTTGCATTGCACAGTTGAAGCAGCAGGTACCCCGAGAGCAGAAAATGCGGAAGCGACAAATAGCGATGGAAATGCCTACGAACTTGACATAGAGGAGGCTGTGGGGGGAGCCGCAATGCTGCTGCTGCCATTACCTTTTCTTGTGGAGCTAGTGAGCGCAGCGGCGCAGGCAACGCTTGCACCAGCAACGGCAAATACCGCGGACGTGCTTTGTGGTGCTTGCCGCGGCATGTGTCCCCCCGTAGTGCAAATTTGTCCCTCGACGTCCCTCAGCAGCGCGACGGCGTCAGCATTCCGAGCAGCAGAACAGCACTGGGAAGCAGCTGCTGCAGCGGTGGCACATGCTGTGGAGCTTCAGCAGCTGACACAACAGGATGGACAGAAGAGTGACAGTGTCATCATATCAATTGTGTTTGCTCTGTGTCTGCCTCGACAATTCTTTTTTACCCCCGAGCCGGCGGAAGCACCAGCGTCAACTGTGGCGCGTATGTCTTATGAAGACATGGTTTCAGCACACCCCTGTCAGCAGAATCTGCAACAGCTGCAAGAAGACAAGTCACAGCAGAAACCTCAGCACAGGCAGCCACGGCAACTGGTGGTGTCAGTCGATGATGAAGTCCATACTGCTTGCGCTACCGTCCTAGCGAAGCTGTGTCAGGCTATCTGTTCCAAATTCCCGCAGTAAGCAATAGCAGTAGTAGTTGCAGTAGCAGCAACACAAGATCCAGCAGCAGCTCCACACACCTAGTGCCTAGCGATGCTGCAGAGAAAATGTGCAGAGTGGATGTTCTTTTGCCGTGTCAAACGCCTTTTGAAAACGACCTGATGTTTGCAGGCTCAACCACGTAGCAGCAAACTTACGGGTGCGGTGTATTGCTGTCGTCCCCAAGACTGCCCAGCCAAGGAACACGAGAAGCTACAACGGCAGTAGTAACACGTGTAGCAGCACACAAAGAAGCTGTTCTTGTATTCAGAAGGCACTACCTTTGACTCGAGGATTGCTTCAATGTCTTGCCTTAGACCCGTGGGAAGGGCTCCGACAGAGCAAGCATTTAAGGACCCTTTTGCGGCAGAGGCCTGTGCTGCTTCCGCAGCAACAAATTCTAGTTTCTGGGTGGGCTCATCTTTTGGACAAGGCGCTTGCTGCAGCTGCTGCAGTGGCGGCAACGCGTGCCAGGCAGTCTCTCAATAATACGCGCCTTGGAACAGGACTGCAGCGGAAACCAACATGTCAGGAGTGGTCTGGGGAGCTTATTTCTGCAGAAGCGGAAGGCGCTGCGGCACGAGTTGCTGCTGACGCTGATGTGTGTGCTGAGGCGTTCCGAGCAGGAGCAGCCGCAGCGGCAAGTTTTCTCCAGAGCTGCAACAGCAGTTTATGGCTGTTGCCGCCAGCGGAGTGGCTTCTGGATCTTCATGAAAGGTTGCAGAGCACAGAACAACAACGAATCCAGCAACGAAAAACGGCACGGCAAGCCGTTGCTGCAGCAGCGCTGGCTGGATGTTTTCCCTCTGCAGATACTGACGCACTGTACAAGTTGGCTGAGCCATTATTACAGAAGCCGCTGCAGGAGGAACAGCAGCTACGCGAAACCATTCGTTTGCTTCGTACAGCATACAGCAAGGAAACAGGATTGTCACAACTGATCAATCTGGCTTCGCTTGCTGGCGCTACCACCTTTATGCAAGAGAGACAGCAAGAAAAAGGGCAGTCACTGGAGGCAGTTTTTGCCGCTGCGTTTCAGGCAGCTCGGCGTAACGCAGCAGCTGCTGTTGCAGGGAGCAAGCACTTGGTCCTCCCGCATTCTGTTTGTCGCATCTTCTCAGCACCATCTTTGTACTTTTGGGGAACGCCCGCGTTGCCTCAGGGTTTGGCAGCCACAACGGCAGTTCTACAGGAGAAACCTCACCAGCAAGAACCGCTGCAGAACAACATACAAATTGAGCTCCTAAAGCGGGCAGAGTCTGTGGGGAAGCAGCGGCATCAACTTCAGAATCAGCATCCTCAGCTGCAAAGGCAAAATGTCAGGCAGCGGCAGTCTCAGCCATACATGGAGGAAAGCCGACGACTGCGGCGGCGTGTTTGCCGTCAGGCCTTCAAGCTCATAGATGATTGCATGCAATATGCAGCAGAGGAGACAAGGTACATCGGGACTCTGCTTGAGAGGCTGAGATCTTAAGTATCAGATCTGTTTCAGCTGAGGTTAGCTTGCCATCATGCAGCTTTCATCTGTTTACCTTGACCTCGCTACGCTGTTCCCAGCAGAGGACGATTTCAACCATTCGAGCATTCTTGTGTGGAATCATCTATCTAAAGATCCACCTTGATTCTATCATGTAGGTCTAGAAGATAGGAAAGCACCCCGCACACGCGGGTGTGGGAAGCTTCAAGCATTTTGACAAGCAGTTACAACACTAAATGTAAGCACAGTAGATAAGGATGCCAGCGCGTGCGTTTTTAGCAAACGAGCGTGTAACAGCAACAGAGCCACAGAAGTAGTGACACCAGACGAAACAAACGAAAGCAAACGAGAGACCAAAGTGCCACAGACTCCAGTAGTGGTGCACGCCGTCTACACCTATCACTTTACTTCGACAACAACTCCGTCTTTAAGGTGCTGCGTGGCCATGCATGCTGAATTCCTGGGCATGCCACTACTCTTGGAAAATATGCTATTGTGGCCCTTTGTGCGCTTTACTACACCTGATGTCTCAGCATTAGCCTGTCGTTCCAATTCATCGGCATGTAGAATAAAACTGGACGGTGGATTTGAATTCGCTGACGTACAACTGCTGGGATTATTTAAGGAAGTGTACAAAAAGTTATTTCACGAAAGGGCAAGTAGTCCTATATGCCAAAAGTAGACTAATTGCTCAATAGAAGCAAATGCAAGCTTCCGGCTGCAACTGCAACAGGAAAACAGATCCTGGATGAGCTTCTAGGCCACTCACTGCGCAAAGGTATATACTTTCGCAACGGCGCGCTTTCAAAGCGCTGTAGATCTGAATATTTACATTTGCAAATCGCGAGTCATGTTCCACCTTGAATTCTAGGCTCATGTTCTGTTGCACGTCAGCAAGGCACAAGGAGAATACTGCAAAATGGTTCTTGGCCGTTTATGGTAGAAAACTGTAGCTACGACTCTGCGGAATCGGTGGCCATACGCCAGTCTCACGCTCGGGTAAAGTATGGGAAGAAGTTGGGAAAGGTTAGGAAGAGTCTCAACCCGTGTAAATGTGAAGTTACCCTCTCCTTAGTGTGCGAAATGCGGGCTAGTAACTGTGGAGCATCCTATATGCTAGAATTATTCGTCCACTTGCCGTACAGACCCACCACCACACTAGCGAACAACTCGCCAAACGGTGAATTTAGTGACTTTTATCTTTGTTGTGGACTCTGTTGATCACAAGGGATTGCACACTTTATGGATTGTTCGTCAAAGAAAAACTGGAAAAGTCTACTAACGCTCGTTTCCGAAGTAGCTGGCATGTCTTCTGGCCTTCTGGCATGTGTGGATTGTAGCTGCTTCACACACGCTACCAGCTGTTCCCGAAGTCAGGCTCTCTGATGCCTTAATTAATTGTCCAACAGTGTGTTACTTCAAGTAGCGCATCGTACGGGGCAGAAGCCCCAAAAAATTTTGTTAGTTTGCATATGGTCCACCTGAACTCCTAGCTTAAGATGAAAGACAGCTACTTGAAACGGTCCCCCAACTCCAGGGTGTGGCACTCATATTGAACCTACAATCCAAGACCTATGAGCTCCCAGGAATGCTGCTAATGTGGCTAAGCTGGCTGAGAAAGTGCGTCAGAAATGTGGTCTTCTCAAGCCAGAATTTCAAAGCAAACATATTTCAGTTCGGCAAACAAATTCCAGAGAAGAGCGCAGGGTGAACTGGAAATGCCTGACGTCTTAAGCGAGCCAAAACGCGAGTAATTGGACCAAGATGCCTATCCTGTGGCGGATCTACCTGTGTAGATGGCCTCTTGCATAGTGGCTAGTCGAATTATAACACGCTTGAGCCTTAGAGCAGCACAACAGTACTATTTTATCTTCAAACGTGTCCGTCGGCATCGATGCTCTAGGGCATTGTGGAGCACCAAAATCACGTACCGCTACTATGTTTGTTCAACGCCCTTCGCCTAGCCACCTACAGCAGCTGGATGACATCAGGTACAACGTTGAGATCCATTCTACTCGCCGCCGAATTCTGTATTGTTCGCTGTCTGCCGTCTGTGACGCCCCAGCTATCCTTTTTTACGAAGACCAAGACTCACCTCCGCAGGCTTGCTCTCTTCAGTATTAAGAAAATATTTTCAATTAAGGGTGTTCCTCTCTTGTACGTAAATTTTCTCGTAGCTTTACCCATACTACCCGTAGGCCCGGCCGTATAGCACAGTCTCATTCACTTCTGTAACCACTCACAGTGACAACGTGGCACTTTTGGCGGTATATACGGTGTTATTGTCCAACAGGAGGACATCAACGGCATAGCCTTCCGAGCTTTTGCCATACAACGGGCAGAAAACATTGCCTTCGTGGTGCACTTCGTCCTGATGCTCTACTTTCATATCAGTAGTCCTATTCTGGCTCATTTAATCGTGGCTATTCAGTGTATGCAACAGTAGCGCCGTAGATACCCATTCGAACTACAGTGCGGTCAGCACGCGCAGTAAAGACCGTACACATGCCCTCGGTCTTGTGGATTTGGAAGGGGAAATCCGCTTCTTCCCTCTCATTTCAGCGCCATTTGTGAGACTGATACATAAATTTTGTTTTGAATAATGCTAGAAGCAATGGGACAACAGTTTGAAGAGCCAGCATTGAGTGTGCAACACAACTGATGCCGTTGTGGCTGCATGCGGATCCTCGAACTAGTGTGGGGCCATTGCAAGGAGGAGAGACCACAAAAGGAGTTTCTTCTCACTTTAACTATTTGGAAAGTACAAATAAATTTTGCTTCAGAGCAGCGAGGACCCTGAGAGTCCGGTGCGCCGCAGTCCAGCTTCTTTAGCACCGAGCGGGCTTCGCTGTCAGACGCTGAGGCAGACGGCACACGCTGTTGCCTTCTGGTCGGCTCTGTCACGTTTTGATGAGGCCGATATGCGCCTAGAGAACTTGAGGGCGAGGGTGCGGCCTTACAGCCCCCGCGTCCCCGTACTAGAACTTCAGTCTGGTGTGGCGGGTCGCCCGAGCCGCCTGTTGGTCCCCGCACGGATGAAGGCCCTTGAGCTCACCACGGGTCTACTAGCAGCTCCAGGAAGGTTCAGGGGCTCTTGCGCCCAAGTCGGCTGCTTCTGCGGCAAGAAAGGAGAGGGATCCTAGCAGGACCCGCCGCTATCTTCCTTGTATCTCTTGAACCTACGCAGCTTTTTATCTCCTCTCTACAGTTGCTGCATTTACGCTGCACCTGAGAATTCACAACCAGCGAAACGCTTCGCGTTGCACCGGGTTCTGCACCACGATGGCTACGGGGGTGGCAGTGCCTCCAGACAAACAGAGAATCACTCAAGTGGAGAGTTGCAGCGGAACCCCGACGCAGTCCGTTACGGTTGTGGTTGGTGACCGTATGAGCGCCTCTACATTCCCCGGGCAACTGGACGCATGTTCCTCTGTTGCTGCTGCCGGTTGTGCAGAGGCAGTTGCTGAACAAGAGCCAGGTCTCCAGATAGTAAGGAAGGGACGGGCAGGGAGTGCTAGCAGCACGTGCTCCGTAGGCGGGCCCGGAGGAAGTAGCGGTGCCTCCACAGCAACAGGGGAGCGGGATGGCTCTGTAAGTGTTATTGCTCACACCCAGGGAGAAAGTAGCTCGTTTTATGATGGTGTGGGACCCTCCCGTGGCCCCGTTGGCCCTGATCAGGGTGCCCAAAACTGTAGCGTGGCGGCCGTCTTGAAGCGCCAGGCCCTCTTGGCAGCCATAGGCCTGCAGCACTCGCCAAAATCTGACAGGCTTTATCTCCAATCCCATGCGTGCGCTATCCTTCACTTCATAGGTGAGAACTTGCCCGGCCGTCTGCTGCGGTTTGTTCCCGAGACCTTTTCTTTTTTCTGAAGGCTGTAGGCCTGCTGGTCTACGTAATAAGGAAGAAGGTAATCTGTAGAACTACGTACCTACGAGAGGTTTGTTATCTATTGAGGAGCACTCGTGCTTCCGTGTTTGTTTGCAGCTCTTTTCATGTCCTTCGTTATGCTCGTCACCCTATGGGGCATTTTGGTAGGTGATCTACTTACCATGCTTGCTCGCCCTGTGCGTACAGTAGGTGCAGGATCATAGAAAGGCTAGCTGCGGATTCTTATCGTTAATTGTTTATATTGTGCGTAGCTGGATGCAACAAGGATTTGAGCTGTGGCGCAGCATGGCTGACTCCAGAGGGCGATGCCACCGCGTCTTACCCCAGTCGTCTTTTCCCGCGACGTGTGTTGAGATCACTGCAGGACGTCGCTGTGGAGATTTTAGCCGGCCCCAATAGCGTTGACCAGTTGCAGGGCTATTCGGTGATGTTGGCGGTCGGTTTATTGCTCACTTTCGTGCTAAAGCTCGTTGAGAACCAGGGTCTTAAACTAACAGTCTACCCAAGTAAGTACATACACAAACGGCTCACTAGCACTATGACACGAGCTCATGGTGAAGGGTTCAGTTTTAAGTATTTAGGGCTTTAGGTGTAAGGGTGGTCTTGCGGGTTTATCCTCAGCCCTGATTGTCTCCCTCATTACGGTTGTGGCGGCGTGGGGAATTATCGTAGGTCTTCACATCTCGCACCTCTCGTGCTGGTTATTTCTTGTTTTACTTTTTTTTCCGGCTGCAGTGATTCAAGGATGCAGCAAACAGTTTTGGCTGGCCTCGCTGGCTCGTTCGGGCCCGCTTGCGTGGATTCCATGTTCTCGTGTATTTGACCTAGTCACTGCCCTTGACCGAGATATGTCTCGTCTGTTTATGTTTGCCTATACGCGTTTCGCTTGTAGTCGTCTTCCATAGCCTTTCTGCACTTCGGTCTCCCTGGCTGTTCGTATTTATTGTTCGCTTCGGCGGTTATTGGATTGGCCTCTGCTGCTTACTGCATTGCTTCATGTATTTCTTTCCTGCGCTCTCTGTTCCGTAAGCGCAGCTGTATGTTTTTGCGTCGTGCGATGACTTCGCAGGATGGACTGGTGGAGGTCGGTGCTCTGGGGAGCAAGCAT